CTTTTTTAATAGTGTTCATATTGATATCGGAATTATATCGTATTGACCGAAATTAAGAATTATATGGTGATTTATAAATTTTGGCCATATCGTCCAGCCCTAATTTGGTGTTTAACAAAAATGCAGAGTAGATTAACATAAATACTATCTTTATAAAATATAATATACTTTATTTTAAATGTATTCAATTTTAATTAAATATTATGTAATTTAAATAAATGCTATTTACTAGGATTGTTTTTTTATATATATTTTTTAATATTTAAAATATTCCTCTTTTTGGTCCTCTTTAATTATAAGGTTTAAGTGGTCTTTTAACCCAGACTGCTTCAATATAGTATTATAGTAATAAATATGATTATTATCCATAACTACATGGTGATTCTAGTTATATTATATTATGTTCTATTATATTATGTAAAAAATGCAACAGCCCTACCTAGTATTTAAAATAGCCATTCTAACAGTTTGAGGATAGCTCAATAATGAAATAATTTGAAATCTATGCACAAAAATGACATGAATTTTAATGTATAAATCTCTCTGTTGGTGTATTCCAGATGAGATGAACCTACCAGCAGACATTCCCAGTTACCTCTCATCTCAGGGTACGCTGTCAGAGCCTCAGGAGGGCTACAGTAACTCAGAGAATGGAAGTCACCAGCAGCTTATGCCATCTCATGCTAACGGTTACGTCCACAAAGGCACCGACGGTAATGTCACCGTGTTCCTCTAGCGAGAACGTTTATTCATAAAGGCTATAAATATGACAAGTCGTATAGTTTGGATGTATAATGCTGTCATGTTGTGATGTGTTTCAACAGGAGTGTGTTACGGTGAAGTGAGCAGTGATGTTGATCCAGATGCTAATGGAATGCTGGGTAGTCGTGTGGGCTCTTTCTTTGCTGAACGTAGCAGCTTCCACCGGAGTGAACCCAGAGAGGGACAGGCAAATGTCCCTAATGGTAATGTTAAATTTTTAATTTATCCCATAAATGTATATTATTTAATTTGCTTAAAAATTAATATTCTGTCATTTACTCGCCCTCATGTCATTGCGGAGTTGGCTGTTTGTCTTACCAGTTGACCTCATTGATCGGCTAATGGGTTGCTGGATGACTAGTCGACCATCTTGACCTTCGTTTGTGTTTTTTTTTAATTTTTTTTTTAGGTGGGCCAGGCACTCTGGTCATCTGCTCAGACTGCTACGACAACGCCAACATCTACTCGCGCACGCGTGAGTATTGTCCATACGCCTACCTGACAGAGGACGACCCACTTGTGTCTCAGATCTCTCGGGATGGACACCAGAGCAGCCATCAAGAGCGGGATCAGCACGCAGACACGGCACTGGAGAGTTTTATAAGTCAGCAGAATGCCTCTGTGTTCCTCACCAACCATGAACCACGACTACCAGCTTCACAACACTATAGCACTGGTGAGATGAACCACATATGCACCTCATTTCAGTCTAATTTCCTATTAATATTCTTTTCACCATTGCTTTATTAAATTCAGTGATCTGCTCACCTTGGCGACCTTTTTAGGAGTTATTCTAATAAGTTAAAATTAAGATACTTTGTGTTATAAGATGATTTGTCCCAAATCTAGTATCATTTGTGCATGAGGCAATTCCAAAATGCAGTGTGACAAGCTAAATCAGAAAATGCCATCCTAGATCGCAGGCAGTGTTAAGAAAAATGTCCATTTTAAATGTAAATATTTCATTCATACTTAAATGCATATATTTCTATAATATTGTATAATACAAATATTAATTAAATATATTTAGATTTTAAATTGATAAAGTTTGGGGTCAGTAAGATGTTTTTGAAACCAAGGCTGCATTTATTTGATTAAAAAATACAGT